GAAACCCTTCCTTTGCCATGGTACAATTTACCTGGAAGCCCACCAGTGCAAAATCTCCAGTAATATTTACATTCTTTTCAGAGCCATGTGCCCTTCATCCAGACATAAGCATGCTGCATGCAACATGCCATCTTGACTACTCCAGTGGCAACCAAGAAGAGAGCAACTTCACCGTTGCCTGGCAACTAAAAGATACTCCCAACTTGAGGCTTTATTCTGAGGAGGAAAGAGCCCCCTGGATATATCAGGACTTCCTTGAGCTCAATGGAGTTCCACATCCTGGGAGACTTGCCGTCTACTCAGGCGGAGGTTACATTGCCGAGTTTGGCACCACTACTGCTGAGGCCTTAGCAACGGCCCATTTCCTTAGAGAGACAGGATGGTATGATAAACTGACGCGCGCAATCTTTGTCGAGTTCTCCGTGTACAATGCCAACATCAATTTGTTCAGTGTTGCAACTCTGTTGGCCGAGACATCGTCGACAGGGGGTGCTTTAGTGACATCGCACATCCACACTCTGCGGTTGTATCATTATGAGGGAGCCATTGCAATCTTTAACATCATCTTCCAGGTATCACAGTTGTTAAAAAGGTTCAATTATATTTTGTTTGACAAATAAGTCTATTGAATGTTTTTTTTTCTAGTTAATATTGATGAAGTATGTGATAGAATGTTGAATAGATAGAATTTTTTTTTTTTTATAATGTTTAATAGTTTATAGTTTGTGATGTTTTAAACTTTGTAAATCATGTTCAATTCAGCTGACGCTGCGAGGCATGATTATTAATAAACCAATTTGAATGAATGAATGAATAATATACATGCAATATGAAAATTATGAGTCAAGAGATTAAACAACATTCTATCACATACTTCATCAATATTTGTAAAAGCAGAATATCTACTTTTAGCTTGATAAACATGAAATGCAACACTTTCTGTTTCTTTGCTAGGTTATTTTTGTGGCTTACCTTCTCTTCTTCATCATCAAGTTGATCTTGCTGATCAAGAAAGCCGGATTGAAGGAACTGAAGAACTTCTGGACAGCTCTGGAACTGATCCTGCTACTGGTAGCCATAGTCGCGGTTATCATGTTCGCTTTTCGTGAAGTCTTCATCAAACTTGCACTGCAGGAAGTCAAGAACAAAAAACAAGGTTACTTCAGCTGTTCTCAAATCAAATTTTAAGACTTTTTTCAAATTTGTCCGAGACCCTTTTGAAGTATTAGCATAAGGATCCTTGAGTTCCCTTGATTTCCAACGAATCTTTCAGCATCTTTTTCAGTACCCTACGGTTTTCTTATCACTTCCAATATTTTAAAAAAAGAAAAGTTGGTTTCTAGACAATGTTTACTTTCTTCTTTCTTATCAGATTCTTTGATAAATTGAATCCCAAAACAAAAGTTAAGTCGACAGGTGGAAACCATTCTTCTAAAAAAATCCTAATGGCATCTACAAATTAAAGTTGAACTCCAAAAGTGACAAAATACGAATTTCTAAAAATAGCCACGGTCCAAACATAGATTATGATTTGATTACGGTTTTACACTTGGGTGCATTAGTCTCACATCACTAAGGGAATAAATATGTGCTTAGCCGGTCTTCAACTTGCGTTTAAGACCGGCTCAGGAGAATGGACGTGACTAATGCCAAGTCACAGGCGAGGGGCATTATCAGCGTTCAGTCTGCTGAGTTGGTCTTAAACGTTAGTTTAAGATTGGCCAAGCACATACTCATTCCCATTCATAAATACTTTTTTAGTCAGAGAGTCAAAAGAAGTCAATATATGATGGATTTCCAATGGTTTTGTTCTAGAACTTTACATTCATTTTTCCCGCACCCCTGTCCATTTTATTTTACAGAAGTCCAAAAAAATCTGCTTGTATGGACTTGGCACGCGCTTCCCGAGCTGCGTGTACACAGACTCTTGATCCATCAGAATCGATTAAACTGTCTTGTATCCAAGTGCCAGTGTGTGATTTACAAAGCAGGCACTATCACTTCTCAGCGGGCATTATCAAATGTTAATGCACGGTCAAGTTGCACGTTGTTGAGCAGGAAGACTGAGGTAGTGATAAATGTACAATAAATATACTTCATGTTTTGAGCATCTGTTGAAATGATTCACTCTATAAACCAAATACATATTCATCCGTTTGAAACATTCAACAGGAAGATTTGTCAACTTTGGTCACATTGCCAAATGGGACGAGCTGTTTGGTTATCTCTTGGCTTGCCTGTCGTTTCTCTCTCTCATCCGATACATGCATCTCCTGCGACTCAACGCCCGCATGTCGCTCCTTGGGATGACACTACGACACGCCTCTAGGGATATCCTCCACTTCCTCATCATGTGGAGTCTTGTGTTCTGCGCCTTTGCTCAGCTCTCCTACCTTCTCTTCCATGGCGTGGTTGAGATGTTCTCCTCCTTCGTCGCCACGCTTGAGACGCTCTTCTCCATGCTCCTGGGGAAGTTTGACTTCAATGCTCTGGTGGAGGCCAATCGGTGGCTAGGGGGCGCTGTCTTCCTCATCTACATCGTGACCATGTATCTGATTCTCACCAACATGTTCATCACTATCATTGTGGAGGCCTTCAACCACATGAGACATCAGGAGGGATTGAATGAGGTGATAGACCCAGAAATTGTGGAGTACATCGTGGAGAGATTTAAAGCATTCTTTTTGCGTCCCGTTCAAGGAACAAAAGCCACATCTCAAGTAACCGGTGAGTTCTGCTGCTGTCAATTTTTAACTAGAAGCTGCAGAAAAAGCACCATTTTTCTAACAAGAGAAACATAATTATTACTTTCAGCAAACAAATTGTTAGAATTCAGGGAAGGCTTTTCATGCCATGCTATGTCTCATCATTGAAGCATGTGGTTAGCCTCACATAAACCAGCGCAAATTCAACAGTTGCTAGCCCTCAAAAGGCCACAATCCATCTTCAGTCTCTGAAAAGAATTACGAATCTACAAAAAATTTCAATCTACTCACCTAGCTTTGCTGGATAATTTAAACTTGTTTTTACAGCCAAATTAATGTATGAAGATACGATGGACTTGCTTGAGAAAAGCGTGGATAAGATTATCAACTTTGTGGAGACCAATTACGGGAAGGTTGATGTGACAGCCAATCAGAGCGAAACCCTGGGGTCACCAGCAAGAAGTCTGAGTCGTATCTCACTTCACTCGGCTACGCGCTCCTCCGATAATGGCAGCAAGCCAAACAACAAGAAAGCATGTAATCGCGTCATATTTGTTGCATGAAAAAATGGCATTGATTTCTGGCTTCAGATGAAACGCCCACTGAGTACTGCTACCATGATTGATAACACTACACCTATATTACGTGTATATAACGGTTTTAATGGAAGCTTGCCATGTATAAATTCATCAACTGTAAATATGAAAGGCTCTTAGTTAACAGATAATGTACATTTTGTCATTATAGATGGCCACAATGTGAACTTGAAGGAATCTTGCCTCCTCATAAATTTCCAGATTTATTATCGCTGAGCCTAATCATATTCTGTGAAAGTTTTGATATGCGCTTATGCTTTCTTTGAGTTGAAGTTCTGTGTCGTGAATTAATATGAATATGAAGGTAAATAGAACAATTAAGAGATATTTAAATCTTGTTAAGGTAAATGTAAAAACATACATTATAAGTATTCAAAATGATGCTCTGTGATAAAAACAATTTCAAGTTGAAGAAATTTGTAATAGATTTTAAAATAACTTTAGTTACATTTGATTAAGATTTCAAATTAACGTTTGAACTCAATGTGAGCACAATTAATTCAAGACAGTTTGACTCTTTTGATGTCGAGTTTTAGCATATATAAATTTATTCATCCTTGATATAAAGTTAAGCATGATTTCCAAATCACTCCTTGTTATACAAAACACTGCAAAGAACAAGATGTCTCAAATGACAGTTATTTCCAGACATTTTGGAATCTGTGTAAAACAAAATGTAATAATGTGTGTCATAGAATGTGACAGTTTGTAGCCCATGTGTTCTGCAAATTAGATTAATCATTTGACATGAGAACTTCTGTTCATTTTCATCAAGGTCTGAACATTTTTAGGTCCGAGATGCGAGGATGCTTACTTTGTGGGATGAAAAGAAAAACAATGCAATTTTCTTAACAAATCTTTTAAACATCTCCCACTTTGCTGAATACAATTTTGGCACAATAGAAAATAAATGGAGCCTGTCTGTGAAATAAAAACAAGACTCATCTGGCTCATACACTGTATCATATTCAAAACTTAGGCTGCCAAAATAGATCTTGAGAACAAATCTTTCCTGTCAACAACATCATCATCATAATCATCATCATCAGCAAAATCACTTTTGTAATCTCAAGCCTCGTCCAACTCCCAACAGTTTCCATGGAAACTGTTCATATAGCACCCTGCACAATCCCACATGGTTTAATTGTCGGTGAAGTTAGCTTTTCTCTTTTCCACAAATGCTGCCATCCCCTCCTTACGATCTTCCTGAAAGGTAAGAGAGGAACATACTTTCCCTTTATAACCAATTGATCCCAAGTCAAATTACAAGTCAATCACAACTACAGATAACTTTCGATGAAAGTTATCAGAAAGTCTTACAAAGACAGCTTGAGAGCAAGTTGTTGGCATCTTGCAAAATCCTCGACATCAAACCAAACCATAAATCCAAACATTTCCAGACCAGCCCAAACAACCCAACCCTACCCAAACCCAATTTCAGCCAAACAAAACCAACCTAATCCAGCTTATCCTAAACTAAACCAAACCCAACCCAGGCTAATCCAACCCAAACCAAACACAGACCAACTATACCAAACCAAACTAACTAGCAACCAAAAACTTACGGTTGCAAAAGTGGCATAGAAGATTTTCTTCTCAGTTTTGAGTCCCTCTTGCAAGGAGAGTTCGTGCGCCGCGTTAACCGCCTCTTTCCCCATGGCAACCGTCAGTTTCGAATTTTTACCAATTTTCTCGGCCAACTCGATGGCCTTGTCAAGCACCTCCTCCGATGGGAAGACCTTGCTCACAAGCCCTACGGATGAGATTCAGATGAGATTGTGTTGTTAATAAAGCTTGCCATTTTGCTGCCATTCAAAAATGGCCGAAGTATAAAATACTCTACATGATAGATTTCGATACTCAACCCTAATCATACTAAAATGCAACAAAGATTTTACACTAAACCCTCAAGAGTCAGGCTCCCTTTCTGGATGTAAATGGGAGAAGCTCTGTGATGCAACTGAAGTGATAAGCTCTAGCAGAAACTTGCTGAACTGCGTGCAAAAGTATAATCCATGTACATTTGCCAGTACTGGCATACCTCATGCATGTAAAGTTTTATAATCCTTGACTGATACATGTCCACTATTATTCTATTAACAAATCCAAGTTTGAGAAGAGATAATTATACATGAACTTGATGTTTCAGTTAGTGTGCCCTTGAAAATGGCTCCAAGTGTACATCATCTGGTTTCTCAAACAGTGGCCCTTCTTTTGTAAAGCTTGTAAACTTCTCAAGTTCATGTGATAGTTCCAGGCAAGAATATCAATCAAAGCCAAAATCATGGGACGATTGACTTCAGATGAGCATATTTTGCTCAATGAATATTACATGAAATTCCCAAGGTTTTCATTACCCATTTCTTTGGCCTCTTGGCCAGTGATAGGATCTCCTGAGAGGACCATCTCCATGGCAACAGATTTACCAACAGCTCTGGTCAGCCTCTGAGTACCTCCCGCCCCTGTTGATTAGGAAAGATACTAATAATTACTTTAAGGTACAGTCCATCATTTACAATTTGCGCATTGTGTTAATTAGCTTGTTAAGACAGTGAAAATGGGAAATATTACTTCAAAACTTTGTTGGTGAGTAATTCTGACAGACACTTTGTTGTAATTTTTTCTTATGCTCTTGTGATAAAGAGCACTTTGAGTGACAAAAGTGCCCTCTAAAAAGCATTGATGAAAGGTTTTTCTGAGAATGGAAAAACTACCACTTTCTTGTCACTTCAAATGAAATGAGGTATTAAAAAATCTTGCTTGTATTGTTGTAACTCATCGTAATATCAATGAAAACAAGTTGAGCTGAATCTTCACTCCGTCTTTCCTTTAACTTTTCTCCCCCCTTTCCACTAAAGCACCACTAAAACAATATTCAGGGTGGGTGTTCTCACAGCGTGATTTCATACCTGGGATTGTGCCCAGCAAGATCTCTGGCTGACCGAACTTGGCTTTGTCTCCTGCGTAGATAATATCACACATCATGGCCAGTTCGCATCCACCACCAAGCTGCCCCAAAAAAGATCAGAGTTACTCCTCTCAAAAGTCTGTCCCAAAAGCTCTACATCATCTCATCGCCTGCTAGTTTCCAAGTTGGGTAGATATTTATGAAGGAGGAAATTTCATCACCATGGTTTAGAACTGTATACGGAAACTGACTAGGTGAGGGTCATCACTCATCTCCTGTGACAACATTGTTGGATTTCTACATGGGGCATGAATGACTGATCTGCAAGATCACCCAATTGCTCTGCACAACTGATCAATCCTTGCGATCTTTTTCCTTCCCTTTTTGAAACAATCTATCTCAGATGTGAATTGGAAAGAAAAGAATTATCCACAGATCAAGCAAGAATACTGAGTGATCACGCAAAGATCAGGCAATCATGCATATCAACCAATCGTATCCAACATCAATACTACTGATATATTTCTCGTTATATTTCTATTATATTTCTTACAGCATAGCCATTGACCACAGCAATCACAGGCTTTTTAGTCCTTGTGACTTGATCCCAATGAGCCAGGAAGTTGCCGCTGTACACACTCTGGAACGTATATCCCGCCATCTCCTTAATGTCAGCTCCGGCTTCAAATGCAGCCAAAAAAGAAAAAGGGAAGAAAAAAGAAAAGAAAAGTGAACACAATATATATATATATATATACACATTGTGAAACTTGACGTGACCAAACTATGAACTGAGGTAGAGTCTACAAAAATTGACAAAAACTTAACTTTAAAGTTGCAAACATCTCTTTCTCACACTGAGTAGGGAACAAGCCCTTTTTACACAGGCAAAGGATTGTTATAAAAAAATCCTACACACAGGAAAGTGATTTCAACCAGTCATTTATTATTGAATCGGCATTTACACAAGCATTATTTTTTACTTTAATTGTATCCAATGCAACACACTGAAGTAATGCTTTCTACTGAAATACACTCTCTGATGTCAGAAAGAGAACACTTTTTACCTAGTAGTTCACGACTTAAAGATTTTTATGTCATAATCAAAATGACCATAGGTGCTTGGGTAATTTAGTTGGAATACTCAAAAATACAATAAATTATCGGTTGATGCGTTTTTCAAGAACATACCAGCGAATGCCTTCTGTGATCCAGTCAAAATGATGCAGGAAACCTCCTTGTCTGCTTCAAACTTCTGCAAGGCATTAGACACATCGTCCATCAAAGCATCACACAGCGCATTCAGAGCCTTGGGACGATTCAACTGAATCAAACCGACATTCTGTTTCTCTCCTCTCTTCTCCACGATGATGTTCTCATAATTGGCTGAGTTTAGATGGAAAAATTCAACAAAAAACCTGAAGAATGAAGCAGTCATATTCACCAGGTCCAAACTAAACACAATTTACACATCTGCAGAACAACAGCCAGGCCTTAAACTCAAAGGGTTCATTATCTGCTTAGATGAGTAACTGTAAGTTTCTTTCTGTCAGCACTTGTAATCTAATTAATTTTGTCTGAACTTGTACTAGCTGACGGCCTACATGTAGAATGAATCCCACAACAACATGAATAAATTTGTCTTGGTAAATCTCCTCAACCATGATTGGCTTAATTTACTTCTATTCCAATGACCAACCATAGCTCGGCTTTCTTCTGTGGGTGACAGGAAAACAACTAGGAAAAGATAAGAGCTGTGTTGTGATTGGTTAAGTTGTTATACTGCCGACGATTTTCCAGGGCATGGATTGGAAAAATGCTCACAAATTTCACCATTTTAATGAGATACAATTAAACCTCCCCAGCAGACATCTGACCTCACTAAGAAGGGATGAATTAATTTTGTAGCACAAGTTTCTCTGATGGCAGAGTAAGTTGGCACAATCGGAACTGCCACAACTGTGTTTATGCGAGTTTGTACATCATGTGCATGTATAATGTTCATTGCTATCTTCAAGGTTTGTATAAGCCTTATAGTTCTGGAATTAATGTTCAGGCAAGTATTGAATCTCATAGGTTTGTCAAGTGTTGTCTATATACATGTAGGTATGTGGCCCAAAAATTCACAGTCGTTAAATGCCACTGCCATTTATACAGTTTGAAAGGTCTTGAGAAAAGCTTTCCAATATCACCAACAGGACCCTCCTCTGAAAAAAAAAAGAAAGCTTGCTGGGGTCGGCTGGCCGGTCCGAGTCAGATAAAGCAGCGGATACTGCAAACTATTTTCAAGATGGAAGCTCGGTGGTCGAGTGGTTAAGACATCTGCACTAGTAAGCAGGAGGTCGTGGGTTCGAGTCCCACCCGAGTAAGCATTTTTTGTGACTTTTTTCGCAAGCTCTCAGACAAGCACTGAGCATACAGTGTCTATTAATATATACATGTACGTTGGGTAAGGGCAAAACCTGTCATATAAATTTACATCTCCCCAACACAAAAAAAATACATCTTGAAAATATTACACATGTCTTGAAATGGAACAGCCGTCAAGACGATGAGGGGTCAAGTGCCGTATTGTTCAACGACCTTATTTCAAAGATGGCGACTGCGAGAGCGAGCCCGTGAGACTGAATGGGTGAAGGCAAAAAGACTGGAAAATACCAAAACAACCTGAGTGAAATCATTCAATAAATGGCGCTAAGAAAGCGGAGAGGCTAAGGATCATCTTTGTGTGCAAAAGAACTTGCGGCCACAATGATAAAATGGTGCGCCAAAAAAAATTTCAGTGTGGCTAAGGATGGAGCGGGAGTGAGAGTCCGTGCCACACTAGTGGGGCTACCTAGTCGGTCATACTAATTACCGTCACCACGCGACGGACCGTCAACACACCGTCAACACCCCAAAAAACATGTTAAAAATCAAAACTGTGGTACTCGACTGTAACACGTACATGTTTGACGAAGGGATATTTTGCCTAAACTTCCACAGGTTAGACTCAGGATAGGAAATTGCCGTTTTAATTTGGCCGAATCGCCTCTTTCGAACAGCTCAGAAATCAGCCGCCATGTTACCTCTAGGGCAAATGGGACCATACCATTATGCTAGTGGGGTGGTGATATTATATGATAAAGATACAACACTTCTTCCTTTAAAGTTACTATATTTGTATTTTTTCTTAACATTGAATAATTGTCCCTTTTCGTATTACAAATGGGTCACGTGGAGACATTTTGTCTTAAATTTTTCAACCTCGGGGAGACATTGGTCATTAGGGAGACATTTATGACAATAACTGTGTTAAACAAAAACTATGATGTTGTTTCTGCTATATTGATTTTTATTATCTTAAAAAGTATTTAATTTATGGCGCAGCATATCCATACCTAAATGGTACAGTCCAAACTCCACGAAGAGGCAAGATGGCGGCGAACAGCTATGCTGCTAGGGGTGTAGTCCACTAATTCAGCCCCATTGAAAACAGTGTAAAATCAGCATTGTTCGGGGCCCAATAATATGCGTACCAACATCCCTGAGGCATCTGAAACACATGTTAAATTATGGTCCATAATCTTTCACTTTCTTTTCAATTTTCTATGGGTAAACCGATCACATTTTGAGTTGTTCCCTCAAAACAAAATTACCCCCAAAAAGTGATTTTTCCAAAGTCTGCTTGCAGCCATTTTTCAAGTGACAACCCTCAACTTTCTCAGGCACTTAGGACCATTTTTCAACAGTATTTTTTAGCCATTATGCTCTCAGATGAAAGCCCAAAGACCCAGGGAGTTGATTCTGGCAAACAGTTACACAATCTCACCATTTTGGGGGCCATACAATCTCCTTTTTCAAAAGATACTGTGGGGGCACTTTCAATGCTAATGAGCTGGCCAGAAATTCACGCTGGAATTAGTGGACTGCAACCCTAGAGATTTTTTTTTTCGTGTGAAAAAAATCCATTTTGCAAATTGATTTGTGACCTCCACCTACTGGAAAGCCTCTTTCAGGCCAAGTATTACACTTCCACGCTTCGTTTATGGATTAAAGTTGTATTTTCGGGAAGTTGACGCTGTGTTGACGTTACTATCATATGGTTACAGTGTGTTGACGGTGTGCTGACAGTAATATAATCAGTAACCCTACTTACATGACGTATGGACATGTTGGAAATCTTTCCGTGTGGACTTTGAATGCACATAGTCATGAATGATGGGGGAACACCTAGGCCTACAATCATGACAATGCACAGTGCCAATGTCACGATGCAGTCAGCATGATCAGGGCCGGCCTCATGCCATGACAATGCCTAGGCATACCTCATGTATTTATTTGGGCCTACGACGGTCATGACCTAGGCCTCGCCTACCTGCAGACGACAAAGATCGAAAATTTGCCGCCAACGGAAGCTTTGAACACACCGATGACCTCACCACTGGTCTTGTCACTAGGGTTTTGCCAAGGGCAGACATGCACTTGTACAATGAGGCCATTGTCCACTTGGGAAGTTAAAAAAGTCCAAGGTACGCACAATCCCACCGTCTGCGATGAGTAATCGTTCACCCCACAGTGCTGTATAACGTGTTATGTTACGCGTGTGCTTGCAATCTATTCCAAGGTCTTCCATAGCGCAAATAAAGAAGGCTCAGGGAACAAGACTTGCAAGGTCAGAGCTGACCAAGAAGAGTTCATATTTTGACCTTTAATTCTCGTGAGATTCTACGTGATAAGAATGAGGGCGGGATACACCAATTTATGTAAGGGGCTTTTATTAATACTCAAAGGCTAAAGAACAAGAAAATTACTGAATGGTATTAATTATTCAAAAATTTGTTCATAAAAATAATTTTAGTATTTTTTTAATATTAAGTTTTCATTCAATTTTTAAATCCATTTTTGGTGTTAAACTTCAATTTGTTTATTGCCAACATTTTGACATTACCCTTTTTGACGTAGAATCGTCCAGAGGGACGACCCCATTCAACAGGAAGCTCGTCTATCGAGGCTGCGGGTATTTAATATTGCGGGGTAGCCGGTAGGCGTCCTGTATGATTTATCACTAGGCTAAAATCTCATCCTGTGACCATCTGATCTCAGATTTATCCATGACAGCATGAACTTAGCTCCAGAGAATCCCTCGGGCAACAAACTTCTGTATGCCGGCTTCAACCAAGATCATGGTGAGAAGTTATTTTGCTGCCGCAGAAGTTCTATTCAACTGAGTTGTCAATTCAAAGAATGGTCAATTCAATGTCTACTTTTTAGTAGGCCTATCAAATATCATCTTGATCATCATGGTCTATCCATCATGTCCATTCCTGCATTTTATATCAATCATGTCAGTTATCATGTCAGCATTGTCAGTTGACTATGTTGATGCTCAGCGCTACTTGCAGAACTGCAAGGCACTATTTATTTAATGCTATGGATTTTAAATGCTGTCCTGCAGTGTCCCCACGGCCACAACAGCCATCAAAACTGAATCATATCTCTTTAACTTTTAAGTTGCATGCCCGATGTTTTTTTGGACCATGTAACTGACTATATTTTACCAAATTGAGAACTTTTTACTACCATCCTGCCTCTCTTCAGAAAACAATCTGCCCTTTTGTGACATCTGTATACTCTGGCCATTTCAATGATTCATACATGTCATCGCACACTTCACATGCGCAATGAACATCACTAACATCCGCTATCGGCTTGACCATTTACAAACTGCATGAACAGCTTCACAACGCAGCATATAACCCGCACCCTACCATACTCCCCTGCTTCTAAAATAGTTTCTTTGAAAAGGCAAAAGTATTTGAAATATTAGTTATAATATATGTTGCCCTATTTTAGACCCCTCATAAGCCCTGCCTGGACTCCTTCCATAATGTAGTAAGGTCAGGTAATGCACCTGGGCTATCACGAACACCAATAATTTTACCTTTCTGCTATTGGCTACAGTTTAATGATATGTACCTGTATATGTTGACGTGAACTGGCAATTGATTATATTTTGTTTTATAACACCTCACCCACAAATTCTGTATCTTGATTGGCCCAGAGCCGGTCACATGGCATTTGCTGTTTTTGCTATTTTGCATTTCATGGCAGAACCTACCAAATTACTATGCCCGTAGCACCCAAAAATCTACATGTATGCATTTTGTGCAAATTCCAAAGTGCTAGTGCTATGAAGCTGGGTTCATACATGTTAGGAAGAGGTAGTTTGGGAAAATTGCACATCAGCTATCACATTAAGCAACCTTCTGTTGGAGAGGTGTTATCCAACAAATATTGACTGCTTCATATCTGTGATCCATGGAATATTCAAATTTCCTTTTGGGCAAAGAATATCCTCCATGGAACACCTTGAGAGGCTAGGTTGACATTACCAGTCAAAGCGATCAATATGAAAAATAAAGCCAACAGTAAACTGATACTATTATATCCCTGAGGCTGAGTATATGGCCCAGTGCCAGTGGTTGTCATGCATGACTTAAGTAGAACTTCAGAACTTTACAATGCTGGAAATCCTTGGGCTGTCATGATTTTTAAAAAATTATCCTTTGTTGCTTTGAATCAAATTCTACGTGAAATTGCCTGATATTTCCATTTCTTTGCATCCATCTCTGGATAGTCCAAAATTGCAGTACATATACATGTAGGTCAGAATGGCATCTTGTTTATTGAATTCACACTAGTACTGTTTTATCACATGCAACCAGACAGAGATTTGTCATTATAAAATTTCTCAGGCCCTTAAACTCGCCCTGTGCCTGTTTAGATGCTGTGCTGGTACAAAAACGAAGATATATCAGGGACCAAGTTACAGTCAAATATCTAGTGCCACTACACTGTGTATGTACATGTACGGGTCCCCTTTCTGCTCTTGAAACCTGCGAAGGGGGAGGGGCCAAACACTGGAATGTTAACTGAACTCTGCTCTAGTAAATAGGTAGCCTTCTGTGTTAACTTTGTCAGCCATGTATGTGCAGATCTATGTCCGGGCAACTTTGGTGGCAGTACTAACATTGGAGAGGTTTCTTCCATTTTTCTCCCAGGTTGTTTTGCCTGTGGTATGGAGAATGGCTTCCGTGTGTATAACACAGATCCGCTGAAAGAGAAAGAGAGACAGGGTAAGTCATTCCACAGAGGAGGAAGACTTGGATGGTTTGAAAGAGTTTTTAATATTCTCTAACTCTGTGGCATCCTCGTGAAGAGTAGACCGTATGTGCATGCTGGTTTAATAGCACGTATGCAAATGACTCAGGGAAATTGAGACTAGTGATTGCTGGATCTCACAATGGGGATAATGTTTATCTACATATAGTGTGGCACACTACCACACAGGCCAAGTGCTTGCTCGATGTAAGATGTCAGTATGCCTAGTGTGTGAAAGTAGGCCCAAACCATGGTCGCACAAAATGTGCTAGCCCCATGAATTTTGTTCTGCTCGGACATACATGCCAAGGTCTGTAGAGAACACACCTTCACTCTCACAGATGTCAAACAAAGTACTTGATCTTATATTTCCGTCGAATGTTTTGCCGGAACACAACTGCTTTTTGTCAGACAAATGCCAAAAGCGGCCGGAAAATGGCTGATGTCTGACTGCACTGGTAATTTCACACCCTGTCTGTATCTGTTTCATATAGCTCGATCACACTTCTATTTCCACTGATTTGTAAGTAACTTATAAACATAACAAACTGCTGATTGAAAATTTTTCTGTGATTTGTTGGATGCTTTATTGGAACTGTATTGTTGTTGATGTGCAGAGCTAATTCCAGAAATTAGGGGTCCAAAAGTGTGACATTGTTGTATCCTTGTTACATCTGACCTTTGTTGTTTGACATGGAAATATCACCGGAATTGATTTCAAACTATTACTATTTGTTTGGCAGGTAATTTGCATTCATTCATCACTCTTGGAAATTAGAAAATGTGTTTTGAACTTACAAAATCATATGTCAGATGTGACAGGGACATACAAAAATGGACCTCTAATTTCTGGATTTACCGAGCTACATCTGTGAAAGGTACAAATTACTTGTTTCTGCCTTTTCATCACATTTTATTTGGGGAAGTGAGATGAACTAAAATTAAGCATGTTTTAACTGAACTGTGTTGCATCAGCTGTTCAGTACCACCCATGTGACAGGCTTTGATCCAATCAGGATGGCCGAGTGCTCTTGGAGCCAAACCCCCTAGGCCTTTTACTAGAAACCACCCTCAATCCTCCAAAATTCCCCCAAAACTGCTTGAAGGATTTTGGAGGATTGAGGAGGCTTAGAGTTAAAAGGGACATGAATTTGTGGCCGAACTTGCAAAAGTGAGCGGAAAGTTTCCTGAACCACTTTGGCATTAACTGTCTTTTCCAAATAATCTCAAAGACAAATTCGTGTTGAAGAATAAATGTCAGATTGGAAACTTAATTCCTTGGTGAAATATTAATGTTGCATTTTACATTCACAAATCTCCTTTTTTGTTTTAATAAAATAGATTTCAGCGATGGTGGGGTTGCACATGTGGAAATGCTGTTTAGATGTAACTACTTGGCCCTAGTTGGTGGAGGAAAGACACCCAACTACCCACCAAACAAAGGTAGGATCCTTGTTTCTGATATCACATGTGTGTCAGTCTGTCTGTATAGTTTGATTAGATATGGTTGGTGTTCTTGGTAATGAGAACAGGATGTGAGACCAGTCACTTCATGATATAAGTGGTTTACAGTACAGTGCGCCACAAAGAGGCTCTCATGGAGAGGCCAGTTTTCAAGTTTATGGTTGACAAAAGAATGGCCAACTCGCTGCGATTTACACTTGAGCGATTTCAAAAGACAACTTGAGGAAATGTGTAATTGATTGGGGCATTCCGTGCCTCACAAAAAAACACTATTTTAATTAACTCCAGTATTCTAAACACTTCTGAATCTTCAACCCAGACAAAAACAGCGATACTTTTTTCAATCATTTTCCCACAATGGATTGCCAAAATAGGCCTCTCCTTGCCAACCACTTGGTGGCGTATGGCATCGTAAATTGCCCCTGTTGAATGGGCTGGTCCCCGATACTGTTGAATGCTAAACAGACAAGTTGTGTCAACTCAAAGTGTATTCCACAGCGAAGATACATCACCACTTGTTTGTATGGAGATTTTCTAATGTTGCGTCACTTTGGGTCTCTGTTAGGAAACGTCATACTTTTCTCAAGATTTTCATGCAAAGATTTTTACCAAGCGCATTTTTTCTCCAGATCCGTTTCCCCATCTTTTCACCTTCATTTTTAAATACGTTTGAAAAACAAACATGGCCCCAACCCCCACCTGTACAAAATGCTCTGTTTGCTTGCAAAAATCTTAACAGTCCTCAATCCTCCGATTTCAATATGGGGGTTCGGGTTAAGAAAAAAATGGGTGACGCCTTGTTTGCTTTGCCTTGTCTGCTGTGAAATTTGAAAAACGTGATCTTGAACTTCAGTTGACGTTTCACAATAGAATTATATCATCGCTTGTGAAATATTGTCCAATACAAATGGACTTGGGACGTGCAGAAACTGAGACAAACAAAACTCAACCGTTCAAAATTCAACAGGGTTGTCTAAGGGGTGTGGCTATCTCATCAACAGCGATAGGTCAAAGAACTAAGGCTTGGTGTCAATGAATGTTATACTTTTTTGGAGTAACTTACTCGCTCATGATGCACCCAGGCGTATCCAATCTTTTCTCTCTGCCCATGCAGTGATGATATGGGATGACGTAAAGAAGAAGCCCGTCATTGAGCTGGAGTTTTCTGGTGAGGTGCGAGCGGTCCGGCTCAGGCGAGACCGGATAGTGGTTGTCCTAGATACCATGATCAAGGTCTACACGTTCACCCAGAATCCTCAGCAGCTGCATGTTTTCCAGACCTCAACAAATCCAAAAGGTATCTTTGCTTTTGATAGTGTTACTTTTAAAAAAATATCCAAACTATCTGTGATAGTGAATTATTCATCAGTGTTACAGTCAAGACCACTAAAGACCTTCACAGGACCAGCACAAGAGTGACAAGACCAACATAAGGACTAAGCCGTTGTGGAAGAGATTTTTTGATGTGAAATTTAGGGAGCACAGCAATGAAATGTACAAGGGTATGCAACCCATGTTTACACTTATGGCACGCATACATGTAGTGTGGTCATGTGCAGTGTGTGTGCATGATGAGCAGTACAAGTTCTTTGGTGTATTGTTTGCGTTGTAGAACTAGTGATCTAGTATGATTAGTGGATGATTTTCATGAATTTATGCATACTGGATTATTTGGGCAATTTATTTTCTGCAAGTTAAACAAGTTTAATTACACAACTGTATACCCTTTAATCACTGTCATAATTTTGTGAGGGTTACATGGATTGGTGGCTTTGTCGCGCATTTCAGGGATGGAATTGGGTGTTTCTAGTGTGTGAAAGTGCGTGTGTTGGTTAGTCAGTGCGCAGGGCTGGCCCGTGTGTTCGTAGTTCCATCTTTGGGTGCTTGATGCAGTCATCCCTGCATGTGTTTCTCAGGGTTCTCATCCCTTATTTACTGGTGTAATATATGAGCTTCTGCTATCAATATGTGCATATTATTTTCGTTAGTCATATTTGTCCAAAAATTTAAAATTTAGAAATGGAACTTAAGAGTGCCTGCCATATCTTTACAGGTGGCCCCTTGGCCCAGACTTGAATAAATATATGGAGCCAGAGAGAGGATAAGTGACACCCCTGTCCTTTCCTGGGCTCATACATGTACATGTAATACAACTAGGACCTGAAGGCCATCATAGTCATCCCCCCTAGTCCCGAGGCAACGCCTCCTGAAGAGTCCCAAGACAACACCCCCCTTGGACCTGCATCCACCCGCCCCGCCACATGGCAGCCTCATATTCATAAAGCCTGAATTTTCTTGAATGTAACAAATAAATCAAACAAGATCACACTGATATGAAGAGAAAAGAAACAATGATAATTATTACCGGTAACTAACTCGCTAGTGACTTTTACGAGGAACTGGAGGTAATCCATCACAATCCAACACTCCATGTGCAATCTGCATTGCTTGCTGCAAAGTCTGCCACTGATGTGATGGTCTTTGTTGGTGGGCCTATTACTCTTGGTTTGCGGCTTACCGACATCATCAGTACTGTCACCATGACAACGTGCACAGAATGCTCAGGCAGTTCTTCCAGCCGCGTGGATTAAGCCTATCAAAATCCCCCAGAAAGTGGAAATGGATTTTACGTGGTTGGGGTTAATGAGAATAATAAATACTTTAAGTGTTGACAGCAGTTAAAAGTGATTAGGTTACGCTGGTGTACTGAAAAAGGCCCATGTTTTGACTGTCAGCATGTAAGATCCTTCACGAATTCCCTGTAGTGACTCTCTCAAGTGAGTTGTATATCACAATTGATTACGCTCTTTCCTCTTTGGCAGGTCTGTGTGTTCTGTGTCCGAACAGTAACAATTCTCTGTTAGCGTTCCCGGGACGCAGGACAGGACATGTTCAAGTTGTTGACTTAGCTAGCACCGAGAAGGACCCGGTAGACATTGCTGCCCATGACAATGCCTTGAGTTGCTTAACGTTCAACCATCAAGGCACAAGATTAGCATCTGCATCAGAAAAGGTTAAAGTGATGATTGAAATGGTAGAATGAAAGTAACGTTGAACTGTTGCAGGTTTTTTGCAGTGATTTTTGTTGAAGGCAACACTGGAGTCATAATCAAGTCATCACAAGTGTGCACTCTTGTACTTTCCTAAACTGACTTGTGATGAGACCTGTTGCCTGACTTGTGACTAGTCTTGTGACCTGACTTATGTCCAGACTTTGGACCTGATTGCAACAGTTTTATTGATGAATTAATTAATCTGTGCATGGCCAATTCTAAACATTTTGGCTCAGGAAAATGAATGGTGATATTTCTCTCGCTCAATTTGTGTTTATATCGGCTGGCATACAGCCAGCCAGTTCTTTATCAACTTTATAATGACGAGTTCTAAACCAATAGGAATTGATAAACTGTCTAAGGTATTTATGAAATGACAGCGCCTATGGTGATTCAGATAGTGATGAGGGTAATTGCGTTGGTATGAATGATGATGTTAATCATATTTTGAAGTAGGAGTTCCACTGGGTTTTCTTTACTCCCAGGGAACTCTTATTAGGATATTTGACACAAGTAACGGGACCCAACTACAAGAGCTGAGACGAGGCTCAGGCAGTGCCAACATTTACTGGTGAGCAACCGTAGTAAGATCTGCCAATACGTTGGTAGTGTTTGATATCCTAAGTTGGTTTATAGCAACTCTTTACTGTACAAAGGGCAATTATCCCCAAGTAGTGACAGGCAGTAGATCTTGGCATGATTTGGAGCTGTTTCAATGAATAGCATTCATTGCTTTGGCAAATAGTGAAGTCTGTTGGAATAAAATGGCAGGATGACTTGTCACTGGTGTCCCCGAGCAGGATACTTTATCACATTTATTTTTCCGATCTGTCAAGTCTGTAGCTCTGAAACATCGATGTTTTATTTGTTGCAGTATCAACTTCAACCAAGATTCTTCACTGCTGTGTGTTTCAAGTGACCATGGCACTGTCCATGTATTCGGAGCAGAGGACCCAAGGAAGAACAAACAGTCGAGGTAGGACAGCCAATGTCAGAATATCTGTGTTTTGATTGGCTCTAATACCAAAGACGGACCACAGGGCTCAAACTTCATGCACAGCAGCTCCAACTGTAGTTCCTACTCACTGTCTCCTCTCTACAAGTTTCTTCAGGCTTACAAGCAACAGTTCCTAGGGTTTGCTTTTGAGGAATCCTTGTTTTCGTTACCAGAAAGACTCAGTCGTAAGTTTGTCCTTCCCAATTTTTTACAGCCTTGCATCTGCCAGTTTCCTGCCCAAATATTTCAGTTCCAAGTGGAGTTTCTCCAAGTTCCAGGTTCCAGGCAATGCTCAGTGCATCTGTGCATTTGGTGCCGACTCCAACTCAGTCATAGGTGAGCTTTAACCCTAACCCCCTTTGCATTTTCTCTAGGCACCTTGCCAAACCGGATAGACTCCAACAGCTAGAACAAAAGACTTTAGTTCATTGCTCACATCCAACATATCCCTACAGAAAGTGGCCGCTGTTGGATATCGTTGGGTTGAGCATGGTTCAGGTTCTGATTGTTATCCTTGATTGGATCCTGTAGTGGAAATGTTTAAAAAGTCATTCATGACAAGCTGAAGGAAAGTCAGTTGGCTGTCTGCAAAATTCTGCTGTTAAGAAGGATTGGCCTTTCTGCATGTACAAATCTCATCGTATAACCCTACCTCTGACTCATTCTTCTGTAATCAACACTTTGGCAAGTTTTTTAAGCATAATTTATAACTCTGACAGTTACTGCTCCTGTTTGTCAAGAGCCTATCTCTTGGCCATTTGCAAAGGGTTGGCAAAGTATTGGCTCACTGATAACAACACTTTTCCAGTGTCCCGTGAATTTATACTCCTATGAAATCTGGTCGTTTCCCTTGAATTGGTCAAGCATTCACAAGCTATGAACAATAACAATGTCTGGGCCACAATATTTATTCCTTTTGCATAATTTTAAGTAAAATTTCTGTAGTGTTTCAAAAAATACCTTGGTGAGAGGTCTGAACTGCAACAGAAAACAGTTCCAATTCAAGAAGAAAACTACAGAAAATGGCTGAAAATTTGGAAGAAAACAGACTGCCCTAAAACCTGAAAGACAGTGACCAGTACAAGAAAACAGACTGACCTAAAACCTGAAAGACAGTGACCAATACAAGAAAACAGACTGACCTAACACCTGAAAGACAA